GAGGAAAAGAGAGTATAGGGCGCCTTTCATGACTGACAATAACCGAGCAGGCAGAACGAAAACCAATACGCCTGCCGCTCTGTCGTCGGCCAAAATCCTTTCTACTGACGGGATGCGTGTGAGCGCCTTTTTGCGTGCTCGAGAAAAATTTGCATTCAGAGTCACCCTGCCGTGGTATTATAAATTAACACGCAGCCTGCGAGACTCCCTTTGAGAATAAAAGAGCGAGAGACGCCCTTTGAAAGGAGTTGCCTGTTTGGGCAACGCCGGAAGGCGGCGCAGGAAGTGCCGGTTTTGGGGTTTATATCCGCATAAAAATTGGTCGCTTTGCCGATTTTTCCTCATAATTTTTTAATGTGAGCTTTTATAAGTTCAGTCTCATGGCCAGACTGTAAAGATCTCTTATCTTCCTCTATGTTTCAAGACTTTCAACGAAGTTGATTATAATAACTCAATTGAAATTTTAATAAAAAGCTGTAAAAATGTAGAAATTTTATTAAAAATATATATTTAATTATTTTGTGAACATCTATTTACTTTGAGAAATATGAAGGTAAATTAATATTTATAAAATAATTCACAAATCAGTTTTTGCATATTACAATAATTTCATTAAATATCAAACTTACATGAATTTGGTGAATTTATTGAAATTTTTATTGGAGACGAATTTCCATGCATCTATTTTTAGTGGGAATGACTTTTTCATGACCATTGTGACCTCACGCAACCATGCAGCTGGTCTACATAAGAACCGAGCTGCACCACAAAGACATTGATTTTTTTTTAGCTCCTTCTTTTCAGAGCCAGTCATAAATTTTAATTCCAAGCTCTCCTTTTCTCTTAAAAAGCTTCCTTTTTGTTTTCAGGAGTTAGCCTAGCAGGCAAATTGCACTCCCACACACTTGTGGTTGGCTAGAATGGAATTTTTACACTCAGTTCATTTTGAAAACAGTGCATTAGCCTAGTTTAATGGCATTACATTTGGAATTCCAGAGAAACGTTTTCCAGCGAACGGCTTGGAAATGGCGCTGCCGGCGATCGGCAAAGTCGACAGAGTGTGAGCTAATATTTTGAGACGCGCGTGCAAAATAATCCTATTACGCCGAATGCCGCTGCAAATGCCATCATTTGCAAATTAAATATTTACTTGCGCACGTACACGAGCCTGGTGACGTCAGCAGAATTTTGGCTCCGACGCCGGCCTGCTTGCTTGCCTGCTCTCGCACTGCTGTATTTTTCATTTACCGAGCTTTTATTTTACTCTGGCGCGCCACCAAAGCCATCTATCCACCCATCCATCCTCCAGCTGCAGTATCGATCGGCGTGTTGTGCGAGAGCCGGCCGCCGACCGACTCTCGCACTCGCTTTCCGCCCGTGTAACTGAAATATTGGCATCGCGCTTTTGGTCACCCAGTCACCCAGATTCCGCTCCACCATGTTTACGCAGCTCAAGGAGCGGGCGGGCGGGCGCTGGCCAAGACCGGCGGCTAGCAGGGTCGGATGGACCGGAAAATACACAAACACACGGACATGATCAAATTTCTCTGGAGAAAATAAATAGCAAAACAAGCTCAAGGGGAAATAACAGATATTAATCATAAATCATATTGGAATTGTTGGATTGAGGCTTGGCTATTCCCAGATTATTTGTATTTTTTTGTCTGCTATTTCAGAAAAAAATGGTATTGCTCGACATGGGCTGAAAATAATTTTTAAGATTGAAGTATTTGTGATATTGTTCTTTTTTCCGATAGTGTGGGTTTCGCGGATCTTGTTTGTTGGAGCACATCAAGAATTCGTGGATTTTACCAAATGTAGAAACGCCTTAATTTATTACGAGTTATGCAGCAGGCACGTTTTTCGTGACCCGCAGGTTGCATAACTATTAAACGCCTTCTGCCTTGTATATTGATTTGTGTGCTGGTAAAACCGTAAAATCGCAAGACGAGTCGATATTTTGTGCCGCTGATGGGCAATCCATTACTTTTATTTCGCCGAGAAGCATTACTCACTTGGCACCGCAGCGGCAAAAAGGGCGAGCATCACGCCAACCTGCTCTTCAAACTTGTAGCCAATTTCCCGGCACGGAATTGAACCCGCCACGTTAACCAGGCACTTCCGCACCGTGTCAAAATTATGCCCCAAGTAGTTGCAGCGCACATAAATTGTCTCGCAGCACCTTCAAAATTTTCCACCGACAACAACTACTAACTCTCCTTTGCTTAATCAAGCCGGTCTGACGCAGTCCGTCCCTGGCCGCCACTAACAAGCCTCGTTCCGGCCGCTGTGTCGACTAAATTTTAGATTAGCCCGCTCTCGCACGGGCTCATATTTACTCGAATAGTTTTGACATGCAAATTAGCAGCGGGATAATGAATTCGGCGGCGGCGGCGGTGCTTACCTGCTGCAGCCACCGGTGTACACACTACAAAAGAGGCTGGCCGGAGAGCTCAAGATTTCGTTGTGCAATTTAATCAAAAGTTCCAGCCCAGAAGACACGGCGGTCGTCGCCTCCGTCGCTCTCTCTCCGCTCACACACACCAATCTACAATGCTTTGGGAGTTAATATTAAACATGAAGCCGCTTGTTGATTTGATTAAATGGTTGCTGCAGATTCGCTCTCTCTCTCGCTGCCGGCCTGATAAGTCCTGCCCGCGCCGACCAACTCCTCGCTTTTGTGTACCCCCAAAGAGTGCAGCAACAACATCAGCGGTACAACAAAGACTGCATCTCTCTCTCTCCCCGACTTTGAATACGCAAAGTTATTTTAGCCGGCAGATAGCCGCCGCATGAAACAAAGGCGGCTGATAGTGCGGCCGCTGGCAGGCAAGGCGCACCGTGTCTAATCTCCTCTCGCCTAAATTCCACGCAATAATAACGCACACGCACTGCGGCGGCTCTCCCGCCGGTGCCAACCGCTCCGTAATACAGGCCACGGATTTTTAATAAGCGCTCTTTACCTAGCGCTTTGCCCAGGGAGGATTGGAGTTGTTGACCAGCTCCTGTCAAATTCAGTGAGGCAAATTAAAAATAAAACAGCAACGGATTTAATTAATTTGGAAACAACTTTAACTTACAATGATCAGGGTTTATTTAACATTTTTGAGTGTGGTCGCATGAAAATAATATTTTTGAATATTTTGCTGAAGGGGCTTAACGTGATGATACAGTTGTAAATTAAGTTTATTTGTTTACCACAAGGAAATATCTGCCTATAACGAGAACCAAATAATCAAAACATAAATGAAAACTACAAACAAAATTTGAGTTGAAAATTTACATGCATTTTCTTGACAAGCTTTTCGGAAAAAAAATGTAAAATTGACACTTTTTTTATTTTAGAAAATAAAAAATTTGAAATTTAAATTTGATTATACCCTAATTGTAAGATAAACTGGACTTTCCCCCGCTAAGAGAGCCATTAACATTTTTCATGGCTCAGCTCAACTAAATTTTATTAATAAAAACATCATTCTCAAGTAGTATAAGCGCGGTTCATAATTTATTAATAATTCAAGTATTATTTTCAATCATGTTCGCGTTTGCATGGCAACATTATTTGCTCGTTCTAATCATTAAGAGAACGTTAAAATTGACTGTGTATTTCAGGTACTTTATTTTCCTGTTTGCTCTAATCCCTCTAATCTGCAAAGCCGTCAATAAAATAACACACAAATTTTCGTTTCCCTCTTTAGAAACACATGTGTGCAAACTGTTATTGTATATTTGTGATGCAAATCAGGAAAATTCGTTATGTTAAATAATTCAATGAAAAAAAATCCACCCAACTGGGCTGTTTAATAATCAAATCTACAAAATTTTCATAATAGTTAATGATATTAAAATTTAAAATATAATTTATAAATAAAAACAGCTAAATTTTGAAAATAAATCTAAATTTATCTGAATTTTCTCCAATTGTGGAATAAAATTAAAGCTTTTCAAGCAATCAAAAGGATCATCATCTAAATTGTATAAATGTAACCAAATTTTTACAATTTATTTACAAAATAATTTTTTTAATAATTACTTTAAAGATTAAGTAATCTCTAAAATATATTATAAATATTTCGGTTAAATTTGAAACATTTGTCTGCTGAAAACCGCTATCATCTTTCCGTGTTTGTTAAGTTTTAAAAAGAAAAAAACTGAAACGACTACCAGTTTGTGTTGGACAAAAAGGAACTATCCCCTAATACACTTTGCCATGCTCATTCGGCCGCCTTTCCATTTGCTAGATGGGCCCACGTCAGCGTCACCGCATCCAAAAAAGGCAGCATTATGTATGTGTGTGGGCGCGGGAGGCTTTACTCAAACTATTAGCCTTTCATCTCTTCTCAGCAGCAGTCATTCTTTTTTTGTCTGTCTGCTGTGCAAGCATTCGCTACATTATTCACGAGGAGGTGGTAGCGTGGAACTGTCTGTCTGTCAACCCAAGACACTCCCCAGCTAGGCCGATGCGAGCTACACCTCGTCCCGCAGGACGACCCACTTTTTCAATCAGACCCCGCGCACAATTTCGATATACCGCTCCAGCAGCTCGCTGAAAACGCACACACACGACCATCAATCTCGTATTTGTCTACGAAAAAGAATAATTTAATACGCGTTAGCTTTCTTTTTGCATCTCAAAGTGTTTTTTAAAACGAGCAGTCTATTCACAATCAGTATTCATGCGCCAGTAAAAGCTAAAATCCGAGCAGACCAAAATGTTTGAAGCTATTTTTCGGTGTTCAGTTTCATTCAATTAATTAGCGAAAATTTAGGGTACGTTTTTAATTAAATCTTGATTTTGCCAAATGAGACCGAAATTTGCCAAAGCACCCCTTTGGATCGTGCAATCCGCTCAATTAATTATCAGTGGTAGAGCGACAGGCGCGTAACTGAAATTTGATGAGTTGTCATGGTTTTGTTCCGAGTAGCGCTTCGCATTCCGACTGACTGTGGCTCATATTTCAACCAGTATGATTAATGCTGTCTCTTAATTATTGTTGCAGTTCCGCCTCAAAGGATTGTAATTACCGACGAGGTTGGCACGGAGCGCGTCTCTGTGGTCGGCCCTTACGTCGAAGGCTCCAAGCTCATTTTACGCTGTGATGTATTCGGAGGTAAGTCATGTCATTCCATTTTCGTCTCCAGCGTCTTCTGTCATCCCGGTTCCTTTAGCCAAATTGGCCTTTTGCGCAGGTAGAGGGTTAACTATGGAATATTAATCGCCTTTCGCATTCCGATCTCATTAGAACGACTATTTTGGTTCACTTAATAAAATACCTCAATCGTAGAAACCTTTAGTAAAAAAATAATATTTTAACTTTGTTATTTCTTTTTAAATTTGAAATAAAATTAAATTTTGAATGTATTTGAATGGGATAAGTTTAACGGATGCAGCTCATCGGACTCAAATTCTAATATCATCATTGTTGTATATTGTAGATGTTTAATAGTCTTTAAATATTTTATTCTTCTCCGTGAATACAATAATTTTAATTCGGAAAAATAAATAATAATAAAACCATAATGAAAGGTGCTATACTATGATTACTTCTGCTATTTATGTCAATCTCTACCGAGTTAATGTTTAGAAAAATAGACGAAAATAAACATTTCCGTTACCATACTCATCTAAAATATAAAAATTGAGCATGTATCACCTTCATTTTTTATTTGTATTGCTTCAAAAATAAATGAAATTGATACCGGCGGATGAGTGCTTTTTTTACGTCAGCAGAACATAAAAATTCAATACGCACCGTGGGTGGGCAAATGAAAATTTGAGCGGACCCAAACGAGAACGATTGATTGACAAGAATCCAACTGCGAAATCAAGCTTCATTCACAGAACCAGATTGCAATCACCTTTTTCCTTTTTCAAGGGGGATATATTTTTCAACGTTTTGAATTAAAATAAAGCATTTCCGTTTGTTCGGCACGTTCCTCGTCCTTTTTTTTATGTGGCGAGGAAAAACCATCATTTCGGCTTTAGCTTGCTCGGTTTTGCATGGAGGACGTAGGACCATATTAGGATTGCTGATGTTTCGTAAGTGTTTTCGCGCGGTGTTTGTGTGTTCCGGTTTCAAGGCTTTTCGGTTCTTATCCCAAAGGGAGCGTGAGAGTGTAAAAAGGAAGGCGCATCTTACACCCCAAAGGCTGGCCAAATTTCATTTTCTGCATCTTTCGCTGGCTAATGGGCCGCTCTACTCGAGAGGCGCAACGAAAAAAGCCGGAAGAGAAAAACATTTGGCGCGTGGCCGATGAATTTTTACAACACGCGCACGCTTGCATTTATTCAAATGGCAAGGGTCTGCAGAACAAAGGCTATCCTTAATTTGATTTTATCTTGCGGAAGGATAAGTTTGTTTGCAACAATAAAAACCAATTCGAGTTTTGGCCAAAAGATCAAAATGTTAATGTGGTGATTTGATCAGTTTTCCTTTATTAATAATTTTTATTAAATATATGTTCAAATCTCTCCGCATACCAGTTTTTTACAATTTATGCTATTTTCCACCTTTTTTTATCTGCAATCAAGGCACGCAGAAAGAAAGGAAAAAAACACCCATTTCGCAGCGCAAACAGCTCATTTTACCGAGTGTTCTTTATCTAGCAAGCGGTTTGATTGTCCGAAAGCATCTCAAATTTCGGCTGGTCGGCGCGCTGAAAGTGACGTCGACTCGAGGTCACAATCGGCCCAATCAATCACACGGCCATTGTCCGCAGCCGTCCTTATCGCCGGGCGGGAGAAGAGAAAAAGAGAATTCAATACCGGTTATGAGCACCTCCCGCAAGTGGTGCGAAGAACGAACGGGAAAAAATCCCTCGCAAGGAAAAGAGAGGCGCAATCACTGGAAACTGCAGACGGGTTTAAAAATGGACGACGTGGGCGAAACTGCGGCACATACACGGCGCGCGGCCATTGTCCCAAAAAAGCAATCGTGCGGCGGCATTGCTTTACGTAGATAATATTGACGTTGATGCTGCTGCGGCGGACGAGCACGCCAGCCGCAGCTCTCCTAACATACACAAGAATTCGAGTGGCGCAACAGCAGGGGTGGAAAGGGTTGTTTCTAATGGCTGCACCGCCGGCAATAGAATGACAATCATTTCCACAAGCACACCAGATTTATCTGTCATTTTTTTCCTTCCTTTCTCTTTCCTCGATGATTTTTTTGCTTGTGAGGACAAATTCTAGGAGACGCCCATTTGTATTAATTTATGGGGGATTTGGCAACACACACACACACGTGTTCTTTTTATTTGATGGCGTTTGTATTTCGTTCTATTAAATTTTATTGCTACATGACGTTTTTTCATTTGCTGGAAATGGGGCTTTTGTGCTCCGCCTGCGCGACACTCTCTCTAAGCTGCGGCATTACTTTTACGCCCGGCCCGGTAGTTGCGCCAATTAGCCCTTTCCGGCCCGGTTGCAATTTTTTGCTCAAATTCTACACTCGCGTGAGCTTCAAAAGTGGAGGCTCTCGATTGATCAGCAGGCGCAACTTGTTGAATGAAGACGTACTACTGACGTGGCGTTAATTGACTTAAATTACTTGGCGTGTTAAGTATGCCTGCGCTTTTAAGTAATCCACTTATTGCGAAGATAATTTATGAACATGCTGCGAAAACGAAAGATCAAAGTATTAATAACTACAATACAAACTCAAAAATAATATAAACATGTAATGGTAAAAATAATTATCAGCATTTTGTAAATGTAAAAATAAAAAGTATTCAACTCTCACAATACGAAGTAAGAAATTAAATTTTCGATAGGTCAAATAAAATCTCAGGTCAGAGATTTTATCATCTTGATTAATGTGCATTCATTCAATTTCAAAACTTAAGTTAAAATTTTCAAGCTATTTAATATTTTTTCTTTGATTTTTGCCAAAAGAAATTATTTGATTAATTGATATAAGAGACAAAAGTAGTAAATGGAAATTCCTTAACCTTTCAATCACGGGTGGAATCAATTGTCTGATAATATAATAAATTTTGGTGAGTCGACGACACATGATTTTGAAAAGATTAATTAATTGGCCTTTAATGAATACTTGGCATTTCTATGCAGAAATGGAGACTCTCCATGACTTTAATTTTCGTGTCCTTTCTTTCAACTTTTAACAATCTGTGCGGTGGTTCAAGTTACACTGATTAAAACTGTAAAGGGTCTGTCTAAAATAACGTGCCAAAGAGAAGATATAAGAATGACGAGTTGGTGGTTATAATTTTTGCTAGGTCGTTAACGACTCGTCAGCGCGGTGATTGCTTGCTGCTGGCCCGGAATAATGCAGAGTGGCATTGTCAGACTTGGCGAAAATTTTATCGAATCTCTCACAGCAGTAGGCGTGATTTATTACTTTGGACCGGCAAGTTGCATGTACAAATTCTCCTTGTCAGGCGCAGCAATCGTCACATTAATTATTGCGCACACACACACGCACCGGTCCAGCCCGGCATGATTTTTGACCCCTGGGGACGCGCTCTTGCGAAGAAAAAAAGTTTAAAAGGTCTCACGGGGTTCATTCGCTTTGTTTTTAAAGCCGTCGAAATTCACTCCCTTGCCAGAAACAAAAGCGCGACCCACTTAACACTCTCGATCATTTCCAACTGCACACTTTCGGATCAGAACGTGGCAGCGAGAGTGCCAATTGCATTACACCCGGCCTGGGTAATTAGCCGCCTATGTGCCAAGCCTGTCATCACGTATGTGCATGAATATTGGATTACCCTCGGCGCACAACTATGTGCAATAATACAAGAGTGTACGTACTTGTGGTGGCGGTGGCTAATTTGCATGCAAAATGGCCCTTTGCACTTGGTATGTCAGCGTTTCTTGGTCGCAACCATCACTTTTCAATTGGAAATCGGCTTACACATAGTTAATATTGCTTACAAAGAGAAAATCAGAGAAGCTTAGATGTGGACTGAATAGGTACTTTAATGTTATTAGAAAATTGCCTAGCTACAAATTAGAGAGCCTGCGCTCAAAATATTTTGCTCATTTTTTGTGCCATGATTGTGCATTCATAATGAAAATGTTAATAGCATTTATGTAACAATTTGGACAAATAAACAATAATAATAATAATAATAAAATATTACATTGAAAAAACTTTTTGCATATTTTAATTAACTGAAAAAACTGAGAAAAGAAATATAAAAAATATTTTATAATGGATATTATAATAAATTATAAAATACCATAAGATTTATTGAATTTATTTATTAAAAAAATAATTGTATATTTTACCTGATAAAAGTGGAAATTTTTTAGAACGTTGAAAATTAAACAATAAACTTATTGGTAGTTTTACGTTTACTGAACAATCCAACCCACTGCAATTATTTTGCTATTAATTTTAAATTTTCCAAAAAAAAAATATAATTATATTATCTTCTAACAAATTTAGTGTTTCTATATTTTAATAATACTGTTTTGATCAAAATAAACTTTGCCATTTTTCTATCTGATCTAGACAAATTCTCTGAGTAATTCCTGGCAAATCCTCCTTCGAAGAGCGAGCTTTGACCATTTTCCTCTTTTCTTACCCACGCTGTTTACACAATTGCGCCAAACAAAGGCGGCGGTGAGCGAGAGAGAGCAGCCATAACAATACCAAAAAAATCATTCCGCGTTCTCTTGCCAAATTCAGCACCGCTATAAATATCCTTGTTCGGTCTTTAGACTTTGCAAACCATTTCCACAGCACAAAACAATTTGCTTTCTGCAACTTGGTCTGACAATGTTTATTTTTTCACACCAAGTCATTGAAATTAGCTGCCTGCAAAACCGCAGTGCCGCTCTATGAGAGGAGCGAGCGCCGTGTACAAAAGCGCTCGCCCCGGGAAACGCAAGCTGTGCGAAAAAGGAAATGAGCTTTAATTACGTGGAGATGTTACTCGTCAAGCGCACTCACGGAGAGCCCGACTCGTCGGCTGTCGAGCATAATCCTTTTGAGCACGCCTGTCTGCTGGCAACCCCTTGCAATATCCACTCGCCGCTGTTCCGAGAGCAGACGTGTGCATGCATTGTCATAATCACTTTCCCTGCAAGTCTCGTTTTTTTTTAATACTATTTTTTTTATTCGGAACTTGTTTGCGGAACAAA